ATAATATATGACAATTGGAAGCTGGTTCCAACAGATACAAAAGATAAGATATATGAGTTGGTTAATGTACACTTAAATTTAAAGCCGAATATCATGATCTTATCTACTTATTATTGACAAAATAAGGTGGATTCGTTGTAGATCGGAGGGCGAAGAAAGATATCTTGAACTCTGCCAGTAATTTATCTTGTCAATATAAATGGAGGTTGGCAGCCACCTATATACACCCTTATTGCGATGATCCATCGAAGTTGAAGGTGGTACTGAAGAATGAATCMCATGTTCCACAAGAACACTATTACAAGTTTGTCCAGTCCAGACTAACTACGGAATTCCAGGTACTTCTTATGGTGATGATATATATTAGTAATTTGTTTTAATGTATATATACAAATGCATCTAAGACTGATATGAATTTATGCACTATTATAAATACTTTAAGTGAATGGAATAGAGAATTGCGGGGAATGCATGTTTACAACCAGAGATTGTCACGAAAGGGGTACGCGAATCTCTCAGAAGAATTGGTAAGATACACCTACTGAATCAGAAATCATGTCTTGATGATCTGTTAAGCTGTATTCGCTAAGTTTGTCTAATTTTGTATATAGAAAAATTCTCCCTGTGATGAAGACTCAGGGATCGATGCACGCTAAGGAAGAAAGCTCGTATGGACAAAGATGGAAATATCAGGGAAGAATGTACTAGAGTCGTAGTCGAACGCATGGTACGTATTGACGTATGAGTATTTTGCTATACGAATTCATCTTTTACTTATTTGAATCTCATTCTACAGATGTAGGAAGAGATAAAAGTTACACAATGTCAAGAAGATGGCAACAACTCTACAGAAGAAGATGCACTATCACTTGTTTTGGGTAGTCGAGACTGTCCTGGACGAATTACGGGTGTGGGTAAGTATATAACGAAGACTCAATACTATCATAAACCAACAAACGATCGACATCTAAGTTGGATGAGGAAAATGTTTGTTCGAATCTCGAAGATAGGTATGTCAAAACGTTAAAGAGTTGGAAGCTGAATTGACGAAATATAAGCAACTTGCTTCAATGCCAAGTGATAGTAAGGTGGGGGAGACAATGGAACGAGAAAAGGAAGAGAAGATTAAGGAAGAAGAAACGAGAGAGGACAGTAAGGATGGAGAAAAAGAAAAGAAATAAAGGAAGTAGAAACACAATGGGAGACTATGGAATGAGAAAAAAGAGACGATGTTATTGAAGTAGAGAAATTTGAAGCACTAGAGAGGCAAAAAAAGGTAAGATTGTTATTTAGCTTATTTGTTGTTATCCCTTAGACACATGGTTAATTTAAACAACTTAATCGTTTTCTTGTAGGCAACTAGTAATGAGCAAAAAAATGCGTCTCTTAAGGTAATACACAAATTATATTAGTTCAACTATTATGGACGTAACATTATTGACTTGTTGTGGATAACTTTGAATTAGGAGGGAAATTCTTGTCAATTGTCGTTTGGATCAATCGATAACATCGTTGCATTAGGAATGATATTTGAAGTGAATGTGGAAGAAGGCAATGTGAAAGTCTCAATTGATGTAGTGTTCCAGAAGGATTGCTCTCTGCCTATTCCATCTAACAGAGAGTCAAACCTATTATCTAAAGAGTTAGGTTCGCACATATTATGGCCAAGACACCTTGTTGCCATCAATAAAAAAAGATAACATAGTTTAACATAATTTAAGTATTATGACCCTTTTTGTAGTGTAAGACTAACTCTAATTCTTTTAACTAAGTAGGAGGTTGCAACGAGAGAAGAATTGCTTGAGCTGTACCCGTTTGAATATGATCTAACCACCCCAATTGCTCTGCGATGCCTACTTCATGAAATGAAGATTTGTAGATCTCAAGTAAAATTGCCAGTGCCAAAAGAAGTGTTCGGGTGTAAAATCATTTGTAAGGTATGGACAGACGTCGTACAAACCTTTTGTGAGATGAAGCCGATAACTGATTCGTTCATAGATGCGTACATCATGTAAGTGCCTTAACTTCTAATGAGATCACTGGTACGATAACATCGTCATATCGCCAATGTTTGACTTATATTTGTTTTCTAGATACTTATACAAGAACTTGGTGATGCAAGGTGCATTTCATATGTATAAATTTCTTGATGTTAGATCAATCTCGACATCCAATCTTTCAAAAGAAGCACGATCGGAGACTTTGACAAAACAACTTGTGTCAATGGAGTTGGGTAAATTGCTTCTTATTCCCTACAATAATGAGTAAGTCCTTTTCATTTCTATAGCTATTGTGGTAGGTGTGTAATTTAACTGATTTTCTTATTTATTTGGAATGCATAGATCTCATTGGATATTGATCGTCGTTGATTACTTGAAGACTATGGTGTATTCGATAAACCCCTTGAGAAATTGTCTCGACAATGATATCATAGATGCCGTCAATTAGTATGTAGAAGACACCTAATGATTATGAGCTTAAGTCAAGTCGATTTATAATATTATTGTCAATCACTTCGCAGGGCTTTCAATAAATCCAACAAAGTAAGAGTACAATGGAAGTGTGTAAATGTACGATATTATGTTCACTCATTAAATGGTTCAAAGTAGTTGTTGTATTTATTATCAACTTACTATCTGCAAAATGCCTCATTGGATGCATAGTGCACAAGACAACAAGGATCGACGAAATGTGGGTATTATGTGATGTGATTCATGTTGGCCATAAGCAACCAAAAGAGCACTTCAATCCCGGGTGTAGTAAGTAATAATTTAGCCTGCATGAATGTCAAAACATATGTATATATGCGAAATGTTTCGAACTTAATTAATTATTGATTTTATGGTTACATATGAAACTTGAACCAAATGAATACACAATAATGTGTATAAGATATACATATGACTATAGGTTATACGAGACAAATGCTTTAGAATATTATTCTATTTTTGTAATAAATAATTAAGTGTTATTTATTTGATTAATATATAAATATATATATAATTAATTAATTATATATATTAATTATTATATATAAATTATAAATTGTTAATATTAATATTAAGACTCCTGTTTAATTGCAGGGGAGTGAGAGGGTGGTTATGACGTGGAGAATTGTCATCTTTGTTATATCTGCACAAGAGTTTTGCAAAAAACTGATGAACTTCCCCCCAGGATTGTCTCTCTTGGAAAAATGCTCTCAAAATCCCTTTAGGCTTCCAATTTGCTGCTCCCACAAGTAAAGATTCTCGTTCTTAGAGGATAGCGGGAAGACTAGTGGTGGTGTTCGTTGTTATTTAATAGGAGAAAAGTTATTCAAAGGTAAAGAAAAAACTTTCTCCTGTATTTTTCCTCTATTCCATTTGTGAGTTTTGTTCCTCAAAATTCAAGAACAAGATTGTCGTTTCTGCTGCGAGATTAACGTCCCTTCAGGATCAAACTATCACTTTTTTAAACTTGGGGACTAAATATAAACCTATTTTCAACTTTAGGGACTAAAAATATATTCTACGGTAAAGCTTACTAACATATTCCCTTCTTATTTCTTGTTAATTATAAATATACTTTTGTGCTAATTTCTTTAATTAAGACAATAATAAATTTTATTTTATTTTATTACTATATTATTGATATTAAATATCTCTTATAATAACAATTTATTTAATTTTTAATAAATAATTAACAATTAAAATAAAATTACATCAACTATTTTTTATTAGAACAACCATCCTTTAATATAAAATTTTATTATTATAATATTTAGTTACTATATATTATATTTTAAAAAATTTATTGATAGTAGTTAACATGACAAAGTATACTTAAAAAACTAAACATAAATTTATAATATTTTATAATAAAACACACCGACAAATAAATGAAAAAAATATTCATTTATTAAACTAGATTTACCGGATTTTAAAAAATTTATAGTAAACAATATTAATAACATTCCCATTCTAATTTTGAATATCCTTTTATTTATTTATTTTGATTTTGATTAGTTTATAAATCGGACCTTACGACATTCTCATTCCCATTGCGTAAGCAAGGAGAATTAATGATTCGCTATTTATTTATTTTGATTTTGATTAGTTTATTAATATTTGGCCAATGATTTGTTATCCGCTTCTGTTCTTAGCTTTCTTCGTATCCTCCTGAGCAGACATGGGAGGAGGCCGAAAGGGGGAAACCGTCTCTTCTTCTTCTTCGTCTTCTGCTGCTG